CCATGGCACCCGCATTGGGGACCACCGATTTAGACAATGGACAAAGTCCAAAAGAACAATTATTATAATACACCATAACCAGAAACTTTCAAACTTCAATCACAATATATGACTTACACTTTTAATGGATATGATTACTCCTATATTTCTCTATCTGACAAATCAGTGGCATGAACCGTGCAGTGACTTTGTGTACAAAGTCCAAAATTTCAACAAATTGTAACAGTGATATGATACAAATAACAAATACATGCACACTGCCTGCTACTGAAATACCTATCCTACATACTTGAAAAAGCAGATCACATGCCTTTCTCAGTCTAACTTAGCCTAACCTAAACTAACCTAAGAAGAAATAGTGCCATAAGCATCTTATGGACATACCTGTACACAACTGGTCAATCATAATCTTTAGCTGAGCTGCTGAATAACCAGTTCCAGGACCATAAAGCAGATTATTTTCCAAGCTGACCACTCAAATCCATCTACTAAGATGCATTATTTCAAACTAGTGATAAGATTTCACCTTGTCGGCCATGACGGGCAAGCTGAGGTCCAAGAAACTCTCCACACGCTGAGAAGTATGAAAACAGTCTTGACACTCAAGGGTGCTTACTAAGAAGCCACGAAACACCTGCTCTGGGTGGAGCATCATCTCAGCTGCTTGGCGTCCATAAGCCTTTGCCTTTGCCCTCACTTCTTCTTCCACATCTGTTGGGTTTGATTTCTCTGACAGTCCAAACAGGCGAAGGATGGCACTCTGGTATCTCTGCAACAAGTCATCTGTCATAACAGATAGCATGTTGCCAAATCTAAACTACCTGTCATTCTAAATTTAAAAAAAAAACCAGGCTATTCTCCATCATTATGTTCACATCCTGATATATTTCTGGTAATATATAAGGTTTTAAATGTTTCCATTTGACATAAGGTTCCAAAAAAGTATGATTCCACGTGGTACTTTATTTATACTTCATCTGCAATGTTGTACAGTAGATTCTGGTTAATTGGGCCATCGGTTAATCGGGGCAGCCGTTTATTTGGGACAAATCTCAAAGAACAAAAACAAATCAATAAAATAACTGGAATTTACTTCACTTATTTGGGACACCATGCCATTTAATCGGGACAGTGAGTGCTAGATGGCGTGCTTGTGGCATGGAGAAGTCTGTGAGTCATCGCTGATTCACACAGTAATGAACAAGTGTGTATTCACTAGTACAGCAATTTGAAATTAACCCTTCACCGTGGTTGGACGTCTTGTGACGCCCTGGCATTTAAATTCCCGGTCTGCTGTTAAGCCTAATTTCAAAAGCCCATAATTATGGAAACAATAACGACTGATATATGATGTTTGTAGTTGATCTGGTGTGGAAGAAATGCTCTTTCTGATCATGTATTGGCAACGTCGCATTCTTCGATCTCTAAAGGCTAGTCTGTGAATAAATGCGTGACCTAAGAGGTTACACAATCTTCCAAAGAACACTGAGCTGTTTGTTTGTAGAGGTAAGATAACTCATTCTCTCAGTCTCATATGACACGATAACTGCTCCAGCGAAGTAGAGAGGAAAAAAAATTATCTGAAACGGTCAAGGGGCTCCATAATATATATATATAGATATACCGTTATGTTTATCTGTGTCTTCAAATATCAACAATTTTAGCACCCCTATACTCAGAAGTCTATAATCAGAAGAGTTCTTAGAAAGAGACGGTTATAACTGCTAAGTATGATGCATATATGTGGCCTTCAGTTCGCTGTCAGAATATCAGCTGGCGCAGACATATTAAGATCCTCGGTTCTCACCCCCTCCAGCAGATGTCTCAGTAGCTCGTGTGAATCATGTTGCTCCCCACCTCCAAATTGTGGGCAACGTTGGATCAGTTTATTCAACAGACGAGTTGGATTGAACACTTCACATTTGGAAGACTGCAGCTCCACAAGTGTGCAAGCCAGGATCTCAGTGAGATTACCCCACTTGCACAGTTCACCTTCCAGTACAGGCTACAACAAGAGACATAATATTATACCCAACTTCCTAAGACAACCCATTAAAGAGCTATGCTAGTCCACTCACCAAGTCCGCCTCTGCTGTCACCCGGCCTGACAGCTGGAATTTGGTGCCTGATTCACTCATTTCCTGCAGCACTGGCAAAAGGAATGGTGTCTGTGCCAAGCATTGCAACACTGCATTGAAGAAGCAAGTATTGCCAACATTGCACAGCCCCTAAACATTCAACAAAGTCACAAAGACAATTTTTTTTACAAAGAGAACATTTTTCAGTACGAGTACAATTTCTGCAGCAAATTACATCAACCTAGGCTACATCAAGTATGAAACATAATTATCCTACAGAAAATCACATAAACTGCCAACGAGAAACCTAAACCACTCCACATTCGCTCACCCTGACTCGTGGTAAATTGCCAGTCAGTGCTGCCACTTTCTCATTTTTCACTGGTGTAGGTGATGCTTTTGTGAAGGCCCCTACAGATGTCCTGTCACCATTCTCTTCAGCCCTGGTATCACATTCTTAAAATAAAAACAGTATCAACTGGGGACATACGAGGAGAGTTTGAAAAGTAATGAGATTGGCAACACCGCTCATCTTCAGTGGCCTTGATCGAGATGGCACATGTGCTGTGTTATTTCCCAAAGTGTGGTTAGCTATTAGCGCAAAGGTCATCATTTTCCATAGCGCGCGTGTTTGTATGAGCTCTGTTTTGCAATAGTGAAGCAGAAAGACATTTAATATGTTTTAAGGCAAAGATGTGAAAGAGAATTTTGTGTGAACTGGGTAAAAGTGGTGAAGAGACGTTACAGAATGCAATAAGCTGAGCTACAATATTTCGATCGTGGAAGCATTTTAATGACAGAAACAAAAGGGTGGTTGACAAAATGATGATGATATTGGTTTTTGACTCAAAAGACATTATTCTTCAGCACTGGCAAAGCAGAAAAAAAGATCAGAGTCCTTGACGAAAAGGCGGTTTCTGCAAGACAAGGCATGACCGTATATTGCATATGTGGCGACGGAAGCGCTAGCAGACATCGGTGGAACACCTGTAGAACACCCGCCCTACAGTCCAGATCTTTGCCCATGTGATTTTTCAGCATTTCCAATGCTTAAACATGAGCTATGAGGGCAGAAATTGAGCACTGACACTGAAGTAAAACAAGCTACTGCCACTACCATACGCAAGGTGTATGGAAATGGCCTACTGCACGTGTTTGAGAAGTGGGTGGGGGACTGCAAAAATGTATACCATGTGAAGTCCGTTACTTTGAAAAAAGAAACAATGCCCAAGCCTCAGGAATCCTCAGATAGTGAATAATGTGAATAGTCTCATTACTTTTCAAACTCTCCTCAAAGTAAGACAATAAACAATATTTTAGACTTTTTTCTACAATATGGCATCAGTGAGTCAAGTGCATAAATCTTCTATCTCCAAGACTCTGAGAAACAATAATTTTTGATATACCTGTCTTCTGCATGTTAGGCACTGAACAACATTAGATATATCCAGTATCCATTTGGAAGTGTTAAACAAGCAAACATGACACTTGTATGATCTGAAGCTTTCACGGTGACCAAGTATACTGAATTATTCTTGGGCTACCAGCCATGTAAGGTGGTTTAACGGAGAAAATACTGATCTTTCGAGAACCATCTTCATCCTTGTCCTCAAGGTACTGAGTACCCTGAGGATGAGGACAAAGATGGTTCTCAAAAGTCGGTGTTTTCTCCGTTAAACCACCTTACATGGCTGGTAGCCCAAGAATAATTCATTAAACATGACAATTCTTATGAATATACACACTGTTACAATAATTGTTTCATTACCATGTGATCTTATTTGTCTCCAAAATATAATTATATGTGACCATAAAACTGACACTCACTTTTTTTACAGTTTGCAGGGGCCTCCTCCAGTCGCTTGATGAATTCAACACATTCGTGAAGTTTCTTGCAGCAGTGTGCAGCAATCTCACACCCACAGTCATAACACCTGCACGCATCACAACACAATATAATGTAAATTATTTACACAATAAAACTCGCGTATAAACATATTTAATAAATATTCTCGTTACTAAGTTTATAAATACCCAATGACATGTCTACGTTCACAGACATTGAACATTAACGGTGACCCTTTAAAGCTGAAGCGTGCCTAAATAATACTCAATAACTATGCCTGTACTGCAAAGAAAACACAACACTTCAACCATTTCAAAATTCAAATAGTTAATGCTGTTTAATGAAATAATCACTGTTTACACTGAAAATTATATGCAATGCATAAATACAAAATGCTAAGTTACTGATTGTTAAAGCAAGTGGGACATACACTTATTCTTCTTTATTACGCCGTCTCCTTTACAGGAGGTCGGCGACATATTAAGACAGGATTCTTCCATCCTTTTCTCGGACTGGGACCTGTTCATATACGTTTTTAGGCAGGTGATACAGAAGTGGTTTGCCATCGCCTTCTTCAGTGTGTGAATGAAGTAATTGTTGGGATGCCACGGAGAAACCGGGGAAGAAGCCCCCGGAGGAAAACTCCGTGTTGCCTAGACCACGGCTTTGCCCAACACAAGTTATAAATTCGGGCAACGCCGGGAATCCAACCCGAGACCCCAGGATTACAAGGCCAGCGTTCTAACCGCTAGACCACCGTGGTGGCTGTACACTTATTACTAGGCATTAAAGATTCACCTCATGTTGATAAGATTATGAATATTACAACAGGGTTGAGGGTACTGATCAGATGAGAGAAATGTTGCAACACTGCTTCAACAATTATGACTGAGACCAGTGTTGGTAAGACACTGTTTGCAACAATGCAAGCTGTGGTAATTCTGGAACACAAAAATGGGAACCAAGGTCATTGTTGGAGCACATTATCAGGAATTAATGTAAGCCACCACGAAAAATTCAAATCATTCATTATCAGACATGGATATATACTAAAACATCTTCCACCATGCACTGAAAAAAAATCTTCAGTGCTAAAGAAAGAGTCTGTTTTCTTCCCAAATTTCATCAATTACAGTTTTTGACCTCCAGACTTCTGACTGCCTGAAAAGATAGGAGCACCTACAAAATAGGATTATGTTTAACCTGGATGATACTAATGATGATAATGATAGTGCCAAATCATCACTGTTGAAGTCTTGCATTTCACAATTCCACACAGTTGCAACTTTGCCAGAAGTACAGTCTGGATAAGCCCATCAGAACATAGATAATGGTTCTGTTTGGTCTCAAACATGAGAAAAATGTCACAAAAGCTCCCTAGATCACATTATAATATTCCAACTGTTGTGGTAAGAACTCAGAAACGATTACTGTACAGACACAACCACATCTAAAGGAAATTCCTGATATGAAATAATCACGTAATTAATGTGTACGTATTAATTTCATTTATTATTTTGGTTGTTACAGAATGTGATGTGTTTCCTGTAACCACCCCACTCAAAGAGCAGTCTTACCAAATGTTCCACAGCTCCATGTTGATGACCAGAGTATGCGGTTCAGAGCGCGGTGTTTGGTGGTGCTTGAGAGCATGTTGCCTCCGGGAGCGACCACAGGCGAGATATCCACACTTAAGACAGAGCCACAAACCAATGTCCTGCTGTACAAAGATTATCCTTTTTATTAGCCATCTGGGACTATAGTCTCTGGTTTTGTTAGTAATTGCTAAAAGTTTGCACATGATTTTGTTTTTTCTTGAACAATATTACTTAATCAGGCAATATAATTTCCTTCAAGCCATGATGGCATACACCTCAGCGATGGTTAGCTTACAAGCAGCTGCTCTCACTATATGGTGGACTTAAGGCACATTACAGTTCACGTACCTCTTCGCTGATTGGAAGGCCATTGCTGGTGCCTGGACACTTTGCACATTCCGAGCACTCATTAACATTTCCGCGAGCACGCAATGCTTTCTTCACTCTTGTTATATCTACTGCCTTGGTGACATGAGGGCAGCACTTACCACCTGAAGAAATGCATTACTCAATCAAACTACCTCATTTTAAGATTTGTTCAAAGTGTCAGCAGCTATATCTATCAGTGTAAAAGCCAGTAACAGTTCTGTTTAAAGAATGATTTACTTAACAGCTTAATAAACATGTGGCATAAATCATTGTAGTTACTTAATGGAAAGTATAGAAAAGTTACGAATGAACAAATACAAAGTGATTATGAATTACTGGCATTATGATGCTAGCTGTATGCTTACACCACTTCTGGTTTAAGACTTGGAAAATTTCAAGTATACTTCGTTTTTTGATGTACAGAATGTACATGTCACACACAATTCTATTTTATCACAGAAAACACATAGCACCACCTGAAGATAGTCATTACATGCTAAAACAGGTACTGGAAGTAATAATTAATGATATTAATAATAGAAAAATAGTAGTGCAGATGGATGTGAGATGTTAGTTTAATCACTATGCAACAGGATACCTCAATCAAGATTAAAAATACCAGCAGTGTTCTTTTCCATTAACTGTTTTGGTGGCTTTTGGAAAACAGAAGACATATGTAGGCCTGCACAGAATGAGACGTGTAACGTTGAATTAACATTAAATACAATGTGTATAGTGCCAGCAGCATCACTGTATGGAGGAGATGGACTGGAGCAAGACATTACAGACTCTTCACAAGAACGTTCTTCAGTACATTTTCATTTACCACAATCTATTATGAGAAAATATTTATTGCCTACATATTTAAAAACTTATTTTCTTCAGTACATTTTCATTTAACACAATCTATTATGAGAAAATGTTTATTGCCTACATATTTAAAAACTTATTTTTAATTATGCCAGTAAAAGTCTTCCCTATGCTTGAGTACCTCAGTGACCCCAAGAGCTACTGGTAGGGCCTCCCTAGCCAGATTGGTTGAGGGGGAGAGGTCAGACTAAGACAGGTACCCTGGTCCTCCAGGTTGGGGGTTGGTCGCAAGGCTAACAGCCTTGCACCGTAAAAAGGAAGATGTTTCGAAACCTTAATCAAAGCCTCGGACAGACAGACCTAACAGAAGGACCGAATGGAAGAGGAGAATTGAGGAGACCATGGACCGAATACGGACCGGAGAGCCATAGAAGAAGAAGAAGTCTTCCCTATTTAAATTTTTATCTGATAATACAGTCCATTGTCTGTGTTGGGTAAGAGTTTCAGCATCTTAAATGTAATCCCACACAGGTTTTTTAATTTTTTAAAACAGGCCTATATGAAGATCATAACTTCCAAAATATTGAACATATAAGTATAAACTTTACACCAAAGATTACTTGAGGAGAATAAACTTCTGTACAACACCTAACTTTGTATTTCTCACTTTTTAGATAATGGAGATACTTGAATACTTCTGAAAAAAAATGGCCTGCCATATGTTAAAAGTGCCAAATTTCAGTAATTAATGGATTTAATCAAAATAAAAACAGAAACTTTTGCTTCATGATACCTACTTGTAAAACAAAAATAATAAAAATTACTGATGATATGGTTTACAGCACTGTTTAATTTAAAATGGAATAACCCGTCTGCCAAACAGAAGAGAATGCCGTTGTAGGATAATATGTCAGGCTGCGTCAAATCATATGAAGGAACACCCAACAGTGCCAATTTCACCCATGCCAAAGAAAAAATTTCCATTCACACACACAAAGTGATTTTAATGAAAAAGAAACTATGTACATTTGTGGATTGTCTGAAGTGCAACTCTACAAAAGGGACTGATTCCAATGATATCGCATGAGAAAGCAATATTAGTCGGTTCCCTAAACACACCTAAACAATTTGCTGTTTGATAATTCGATACTTGTATGTAACAAAGTTCTGCTTTAGAAGAAGAGGGTGTGCTGTGTTTTGTGAAACATGATGCCTAGGCTGCAGGGACTGAGTAAATTTTATGTCTTGAATGTGAATGTATTAAAACAAATTTTGTACAGAAGTGGATGTGGATGAACCGTTGTACAGTTGTATGATAAACAATACTTGTTACATTAAGAATAACTTGTGAATCCCATGAAACAATCCTTACCAATTCCTTGGCATATGCAACCTCACAGTTTCAAAACTGACAAATTTGCATTTATGTAAATTTTAATTTGAATTATTCCAATGTGCCAATGGAACAATATTCACCTGTGTTATTTGCCTGGTTGTCATCGCAGCTCTCTGTGGAATCTCCTCCATTTTGAGCCGATGGTTCCTTGATGACGATTCTTCTTTTTTTTTACCATTCTGAACACAATTCACAACAAGCATGAGCCTCTACAAATAAAGTATTTCCAAATTTCATAAAGCTATCAAAAGGTACACCAATAATTGATGTAGTATGAGTATAATGTGATGAAGATACAAGATAAGAGAATACATTACTAGAAATTTCACAAAAACCTACAAAGTACTAAAGCAGTGAAGATACAAACAATGAATCTTTCATACACTAGTCAAGTTATCTTTTTACATAAGAGTATGTTCCCAAAAATGTCTAAAAATTCTACAACATATCCAATTACTATTTACAATATATGTCACATATCATCTCTATTAACTAAACTATATACTAAGCTTTGCTAAGAGGGCAGTCACATCATTCATGAAAACTGATTTACTATGCCTACTCCCACTTCATTATAGTTGTATCCTGAATTTCTCAAAACATAAAAGAACAGAACTTCATAAATTTGCATTAGAAACCGTACAACTTCCAGTTTAGTAAGAATTCAATAAAAAAAATCGAAGGGGTAGCGGAACACAGGAGTTTTACTAGAAGCTAGTAGAAAGGTGGGCCTAGAAACAAATTCAGAAAAAAACTAAGTACATGTAAGTATCCCGTCAGCAGACAAGTGGGCAAAATCATATTAGGGTGGCTAATAAATCCTTTGAAAGTGTGACAAAGTTCAAATATTTGGAAACAACAATAACAAATCAAAATGATATTAACGAGGAAATTAGGAGACTAAATTATGGGAATGCTGGATACTTTTCTGTTCAAAATACTGTCTTCCCATCTTATTTATAAAAACGTACAGATTAAAATATACAAAACAATAATTTTGCCTTTTGTTTAGTATGGGTATGAAACACGGTCTCTCACTCTCAGGAAGGAACACAGATTGCAGGTGTTTGAGAATAGGGTGTTGAGGATGATATTTAGGCTTAGAAGAGAAGAGGATGGGGTATGGAGAAAACTGCATAATGATGAGCTAAAAAATTTGTACTCCTCCCCTGGTATTGTCATGGCAATTAAGTCGATAAGAATGAGATGGGCGGGGCATATAGCGTGCATGGATGGGGCAAGAGGTGTGTACTGGGTATTGGTCGGGAAGCCTGAAGGGAGGACACCGCTGGGGAGACCTAGACGTAGATGGGAGGATATCAGGCAGGATCTATGGGAGATAGGCGTTGAAGGCAATTTTGCTGTCCCAGGACAGGGACTGGAGAAGAGCTTTGGTTAATTCAATGATGAAGCCTTGGGTTCCATAACCCATCTAGTTAGTTAGTTAATATATAGTTTTGTAATGTTTGCTGTTTTTGGTGAAGAGCTTTGGTTAATTGAATGATGAAGCCTTGGGTTCCATAACTCATCTAGTTAGTTAGTTAGTATATAGTTTTGTAATGTTTGCTGTTTTCTGAAATAAAATTGTAAATGAAAATAGCATTATAGCACCACTAGGTTTTGGAAAATTCTTCAGTTCCATGCCGTAAAAATTAATAATTACATGCTTCAGAGGTGAAGAAGCACAATGGAGCCCTGTATCAGTAGGACAACTAACTCAAACGCTTTAAAAAAACTGCATATCACATTGGATTCAGACAACTGTGGAGAATATTAAGATCTGAAATTGATCCAAATTGGTGAAGAATATGAGACACCTCTAAAAATTGTCAAATTTAAATTTCAATCAGTTATAACAGCAGGAGAAGCAGTTAATTCCACTTACATGCCATAATTACTCAACAAACAAATACATTGTGAAAAATAGAAGCTCTTTACTGAAAACTTGCGGCATTCTTCTGATCTAAAGAAGAAAGGCCAGCCTTTGTTTGATGCTGTTATAGTCATCTAATTTCATGAGAATGATAACAGTTACTGTGTCCTGGCAAGAATTTTTATGTCTGTGAAACAGTAATTCAAAGAAACCACGCTGAGAATATGTATATAAGATATTAGTATATTAAATTATACATGATGTTAGTTTCATATGAATATCTCCATTAGTTTTGGAAATACAGTGTTTTGTATCATTTAAAGCTTCCATGACTGATGTAGAAATGTCCAGCATTACACAAACTTCCGCACTCTCTACCTTAAAAACCAGTAAGTTAAAAACCAAAATACTCAGTCCTCTCACTATCACACCAAACTTTGGTTACACAAAGTTTCATGTGCCGAGAATTCAGCTGCCAGACTTTTGGCAAAATTGATTTGGCATGAATGCTAACTTCACTCTATGTCAAAAAAGAGTGTATTACACAGAAATCAAGTTGTTCAACAAGCTTACATCAAACAATAAGCATTCAGACTAGCTTATAAAAATACAGAAGTATGTATGAAAAGATATCCTAGCTCACTCCCACTCAGTATCAAAATGTACTTCAAACGTTCTGGTACTGCAAATATGTGTTCAGCATAATTTAATCTACATACAATACACAATATACATTATTTATACCTGTACTTTTGCAAAGTGTATATGACTTACTTTTATTTTACTTGTACAATTATGCGGCACGTCTTTTCTGACGTTAAACGAAGACTCAACGAATTGTAAATAAATTAAATTCAAATTGTATAAACCAGGGTGGATGAATATTGAGATTTCCTATTGTCTGCCGTTCATATTACTAAAACCGGAATTCCACGTTTTCATTCGATTTAGGGAAGTTCCACACAAGCAAGACAGAAATAAAACATTCAAGAAATCATCACCAATATCTTCGAATAAACTACAGCCAAATGGCTTTCATGCATTTCTGATGAGTTAAGAGTACTCTTAACTATCCACATTTTATATTTTACCTAAATCAATTTTTTTAAACAGCAAATGCATACCACTGCGTTACCTCATTACCATAGATTATTACCAACATCATTACTTCAGACAGTGTCCTAGTTTTATGTGTAATAAAGATTGGTAACTCAATGTTGAAAGTTGGCAACGCACATGACCCTGATTTTAGTGTTGTTATCTATCGGCAAATCATAGAACTACTATGAGAACGTAAGACTTGAGGTTTGGCGGCCAGTCGGTAACAACGTTAACCACTATCAAATTTACTCTATTCTCCCTCCCCCTAGCTATAACATAGGTTCGATTAATTTTAAACAAGCTCAGAAAGTGTATTCCGCACCGGCATGCACATTGTTTCCTCATGCGAGAGAGAGAGAGAAAGAGGAAATTGGTGGGGGAGAAGTGAGAGACACTTCGATATCTAAGGGGGAGAAAGAGCATCTTATAGCTAGAAGGTCCCCAGGCAATGCCCGCTCGTCCTTCTGTTAAGGATAAAGTAAGAGTGAAGGCGTTAGTGTGATGATTGGCATAAAAGACGGAATTTTGAAATTTTGTATTAG